GGGCCAAGATTCGAGACTGGGGAGCCCACGCGAGGCTGGACTCCAGTACCAGGGATGGGGATGGGGGTGGAAGGCCAGCTGGGTGGCCCCCTGGGACCGACATGAAGCTCTGGGAGGGACGTGGGGACACCCGTCCCACACAGCAGAGTGTCCGCAAGCTGATGGCGTCAGCAGCCGCAACCCAGGGCCAGGCTTTAGAGCTGTCCCCAGGATGAAGCCAGTAGTGGACCCTACATGAGAAGGAAGCCAGTGTCCCTCCATCCCCATGGTCACCTTCTGCCGTGACTGCTGAGGAAACCGCAGCCCCAGACCATCAACCTGCCAGCAGGTCAGGATGGAAATGAAGACAGGGACCCCTGAGAGAAGGGACCAGAGAGGAGGGTGGCCGTCAACCTCACTCCGAGTCAGCAGGGCCACCAGGAAAAGCAGCCTTGTGAGCATAGGCTTCGCTCCCGGTGCCGCTTGTGGGCGACACTCTTCCCACCTGCCCTCCCGCTACGGGCGCCTGCTCTCTCTGCTCCCGTCAGCCTCCTCTGGGGGAGAGGGGATGGTCTGGGGATAGCAAGCACCCCAGAAATCTCTACAGGACACCCCGGGCGAGAGAAGGCAAAGAAACGGGAACCAAGAGAAAATGCAGTGGGGCTTCCTCCTGGCCAGCCTGCTGGGGTGGTGGTGCTCAAACCAGGGACACAGAAGACAGTGTCCCCTAACAGGGTGAGGCTGAGCCCTGCCCCCTGGGGAGTGGCCTCTGCCGGCTCACGGAGGCCTCCCGGCTTCAGCTCCTGAGCGGCAGACGTCCCCTCCTGCACAGGAGACCCGACCAGGGGGATTCAGGGCACTCAGGCCCACGGCAGGGCCCACACCACACCAGACCCTCATCTTGGATGGTCAGCCTGGCTCTGATACTCTGGGCCAGAAGCAGGGACACTGTGAAAATAGACATGAAAAAGTATCTGCTCTCCCAGCAAAGCCAGGACCTGAGGGGATCTGGTGACACAGATGCCGGGCATGGGCTGGAGCTCACTCGCCCTCCCAGGGCCTGACCACGCGAGAGGTCGCCGGCCACATGTTGAAGGCTCACAGAGGGACCCTGCCCACTCCGGGCCCTCGGGGAGGTGCCAGGGTCTGGCCAGGGGCGCAGGGCTTACTTGCTCTCCACCTGGCTCGTGGCCTGGTTCAAGGCATCCCTCAGGATGGAGTTCTCCTGCTGCAGGCGGGCCAGCTGCGTGTTGGGGCCATTCTCCAGCTGCTCCTGGAGCGTCCGGATCTGAAAGGTCATCCAAGGGGCATCAGAGGCCGCTCGGCCTGACAAAGAGAGCCACCTCGGAGCAAGGTCGGCAAGACCCCAGCCCATAGACAAGAGCCCGGAGGGCTCTGCCTTCTCCCCCCGAGGTGGGGAGGCCCCCTCAGAACAGGGGCCGGACAAGTGCAGAGCCGAGCACTCAGCCCAAAGCCCCAGATGGAGCTGGTGCGCTCTGCCCCGACTGAGGCTCTGAGACCCAGCAAAGGGCCATAAGCCACAGCCTACAGTTACCCCGAAGATGCCCGTTTCCTGCCCTCTGACCCCCTGTGGTGCAGCCCGCCGGGAGCGGAGTGCAGGGCTCTGACTGTGCAGGCCAGGGCTGGCCCGGCCCTCCGCTGGGGCTGTGCGGTTTTTCGGGCCTCTTGTTTTACGGCGTTCTCCCAACCTCGAGTGGAGGAGGTGGAGCCAGCATGACTCCAGGCTCATGGAGAGGCTATGAACTTGACCCATGGGCCCCCAGGGAAAAGGATGCAGTGCTGACCACGTGGGACCAGAGTGCTTTCAGACAATGCTCTTTAAAATGTACATACATCTTCCTGGTTATTAACGTTAAACACACACACCAACTGGCCAGGTAAAACAACCCTCCCCCAAACAAACCCGATGGTGAGGCCCCCTCCGCGGGCATCCGTGCCCGCTCTGCTGCCCACCTTGCCCTGCAGCTGCTGCACCTCCTGGACATGCTCCCGGTAGCTGGCCTGCATGCGCGCCTGCACGGCCGTGATCTCCTGCTCCCGGGCCACCAGCTGCTTTTTCACTTTGGCCTCCCCCGCTGCTGCTTTGGCCTTTTCCGCTGCCAGCTCCTGGGAGAAAGCAGAGGGCAGAGAGGCCGGTGAGGCGGGCAGGGGCAGCTTATCAGATGAAACCAAGACCATCATGACCCGGAACATGACCTGGGGCCAGGAGGAGCCTGACCGCAGAGCCACAAGACCCCCATCCTGAGCTTTCGGACAGACCCGAGCAGCCACAGCAGAGAACAAGCAGGGCATGAGGAGGGACCCCCGGAATCCCTGCCGGCCTGACTGGTGGAGGGCTGGCCATCAGGCCTTGAACACAGTGGGCACAGTGGATATAGGCAGGAGCTGGGCAACGTGGCATGCTGTCCCTGGGCTCTCTAGGGGCACTGGCTGAACCCTGCTGGGATTACAACACCCTGGTTTGACTCAGTCCCCGACAGCCAGGCCCCAGAATGCCCTCTCCTGCTTGAGTATCTCTGTCAGGACTGACAAGGCAGCAAGCCTTGATGGCCGAGGGCTCAGCCCACTCCTAGAGGGCCTAGGTCCCCGCGGACAGCCGCTAGGTCCACCGCCCTATCCCTGGAATGTCTGCTCCGGTCAGTGCCAGATGCCCACAATGAACACGGGACGCGGGGCCTGGGGACCCAGAGCCTCAGGCAGGGGCACAGCACAGGGTGGGAAGGGCTGGCCAAAGGACGGGGTCTCCATCATCACAGAAGGAATGGCAGTGGACGGAAACAATGGGGGAGCAGGAAGTGATAGTGTGAGGACGGGCCCGTGCACCGGCCCCTGGGCGGGGGTGCTCTCTGTCGAGGGGGCCTCTAGCCAGAATGGGGCACAAGTCCCATGAGATTCAAGGCCCCTCCCCGTCCTGGGCAGTGGACCAGAGAAGCAGGAGAGCCTCCTCTTCTCCAGGCCGGGATGCTAGGGAGGTCTATCCCAAAGGGCCAGAGGGTCCCTCCCGTCTGAGATGGGACAGAACCGGAGGCCAGGGAAGGGCCGGGCTGAGCGGGTGGCCGCTGGGTGCCAGGGCGGCTCTGCATGCCTGGAGTTCCCTGGGACCATCCGGGACCCCTGGCTCTGCTCTTCAAAGAAACCCTCTTCCTGGCTGGGTCCAGGGTGAGGGCCCACAGGGGCAGAGGCCACTCTGGGACACGCATGTGTCTCGTTCCTTCAATCCTCTCAGTAAGGCGAGGCTCCCCATCTCTGGTTTGAAGCTGAGCCCACAGAGCCTCGGGGAGGACACGCTTTCGAAGGTCGAGAGCAGCCCTAAGCGACAGGATGGGCAGGAACCTGGGGCCTTGTGGGCCCACGAGGGTCCCAGAAGGGATGGTATGCGAGGCGCCCCTCCTCTGGCTGAGCTGGCCGCTTGGCGGGGATTCAGGGCTCCGGCAGGCTTCCTTTGACCCATGCCTGCCACCCCACCCCAAGCAGAATGGAAGCCCCTAAGTACACGGTCCAGCCCCTGATGAATAATCACGGCCACACAGAGGTGGCCCTCCGCCCACCACGCCGGATGCCCGGAGGCTGAGCATAGGTCTGGGACGGGCTTCCCCACCCTGAGCAGGCCTCAGACAGTTCTGGGCATCCACCCAGCTCAGGGTGTAAGGGTCCCAGTCTCCTGGGACAGGGTCCCAAGGCTACCAGGATTCAATGGGATTTCCCTGCCTTTTGCCCCTGGGACTTTATAAAGGCAAAGAAAGGCCAGATCTTCCTCAGGGCACCTGTCTCATCCGCCACAGCTTCTCTTTCTTCTAGGAGCTCAGAATCCCAGGACTCCTCCTGTCTGTCAAATTCTTAATTCAGTTGTAATGGTCAGACTTATTTTCTTGAAAGGCACGCCTGCTGCTGGGGGCCGGAGCCCCATTTCCTCTGACTGAGCTGGGAGGCACCGTCACGACACCACCAGCCCAGAAACTCGCTCTGCTCCCCAGGCCGAGCGGGCCCCGCACCCTGAATCTCCCGAGGCGGCTGAGGCGTGGACTGGAGCACCCCCGCCCTGAGGGTCTCCTTGTCCATGGAGGATTCGGAGCCCAGCCTCTCGGGCCCGAGTGAGGACGGGATGGGGTCCAGCCCAGAGTGTCACCTCGGGACAGAGGCCCCGGTGCCCAAGCAGATGACGGCTGGAAAGACGGTTTTCCAGAAGGACGGCTCCGGAACCACGTGTGGTTCCTCAAATCCCTGAACACGTCCCCCGAAGACGCTCAGAAACCAGGATGGAGGTCTCAGGATGCCCGAGCCCGTGAACTGGTGCCCAGAATGGTCTTTGAACCCAACTCTCTTGACTTCACCCACTTGTAAGATGCCCACTTGATCTGGCAGACAGTCCACACGGCCTCTGTGTCCTTTAGCCACAGATCACGAGAAAAGGAATTCACCTTTAAAACCCTCTTTTGCAACCATAAAAACTTCTGTACAAGGACAATGAAATCGTGACGGGAACTAAACAAGAAACGCGGATCCTATCCACCCCCAGCTCCTGGGAAGGGCAAGTCAGTCGGAGCTCCTACATTCTCAGAAGCTTCTCATATGACTTTACTCAACGGCGCTAGGCTGGGAGACGCGGCACAGCAGTGGGATCCCCTCCGCTCTGCTTGAAACTCTCAACAGAGAAATGCAGGGACTCAGCATCCATGGACTCCAGGGCACAGAAGGACAGATGGCGATGCCTGGGCCTCAGTGGCCCCTGCCAGGCAAGGTGACCTCTGAGCTGAGACAGGAAAATGGGGGCCCCGCCCTGGAGGGCTTCCTGAAGGAGGGGGCTCTTTCCAGCGAGCCAAGCGGTGAAGGGCACTCGAGGCTAACGCAGGAGCACGAGAGGCCCCAGGGAGGCAGTGAGGAGCAGACGCGTCGGGGAGCGACTCGGGTCTGAAGATTGGGAGCCGCCTGCACTCAAAGAGGCAGGTGAGCGCTGAGAGCCCGTGAAGACGCCCTGCGGCTCAGGGAGGGAGGACGCTGTGCACTGGACGCACTGCCGGCCGTCCTGCCTCAGAGCCAAGGCCTGGAGCCCCAGGGGCTGCACCCGTGTCTCGTGGCAGAGAGACCGTGCCTGGGCAGGGCTGGAAATGCGTCTGGTCGGGGAGTGGGAGGGCGACGGGGAGGGGGTCTATGGGTCAGCTGCGCTAGGGTTTGGAAACTCAAGTAGCCGCCCCGGAGGGGAGCAGCAAGTGTCCTACACAGGCAGCAGCACCTAAGGGGCCTCCTGTTGCAGGGTGCACCCCCCACCCCACACCTGCTGTCCAGCCTGAGGTGGCCGGAGACCCCAGCAATAGCCACCATCACCGTCAGAGGCTGCAGCTGCTCACTCATGACATGTCCAGCCCACCCTAATCTCAGGGGCCGGCAGGAGGAACTTGTCGGGAAGCCACACAGCCACCAGCCACAAAAACAGTCACTCCCCTTTCCTCTCACGTGAGCTTTATTTTGGGGTCAACACATCTTCTCAGGTTGTCCAAAGAAAGGATACAGAAGAACAGCCCCCAGAACCACAGACTCCACAGTGGCTGCTGGCCGCGGGCCCTTGGGGCAGGAGGCCTATGACTCACAGCCCACTTCCATGGGGCAGAGGCTCCTGGCCTGGGACGCGCCAGCAGCCTGGCGGAAAGGGAAGTGCAGTCGGCTCTTGGGAGCAGGGTGGGTGGCTCCGGCCGCCCTGCATCCAACCAGCAACCCGAGGCCGCGGGGGACACTCCCAAGAGAGAGGACGAAGGCCACCGGGAAGGAGGCTGCACTAGGGGAGGCCTCAGAGACCGGCCTTCCCCTTCCGCCTCCTGGGTGGAGGCTGACCAGAAGCGACCACAGCAAAGCCTCGTCTTCCGCTCCCGCCGCCTGTCCGTCCCCCACTGAACAAACCTTCCCATCTGGCCTAGAGCCGCGGCCGTCGCTCAGGACAAACTCTAACGCCTCATGAGCGAGCGACGCAGGCGCCCAGATGTGTGGGATGTTCCGAGGCCCCAGCCGCCTCCCTGCGCCCGCTGTCCCGCGGAGGAAGCAGGGACAGGGCGAGGGCCACACAGGGCGCGATGCTGGGAAGGACAGCTTAAACGGGGAGGGACCAGCCCTGCTGCAGGGGACCCGGACCTCCTCCTCACAAGGAGCGGCTGCGTGCCGACCCCTCCTGAACAAGGCCCCCAGCCCGTCGGGGCAGCACGGGCCCTCGAGACCAGTGTTCACTGGGTACATACGTGTCACGTGCTGAACCACCACGGGACCGCTCCCCAGACAGTGGAGAAGGGGCAGCAGCCCCGCTAAGCCCTCCCCACGGCTTTCTGCTCCAATTCTCAAGAAAAGACCCTGGGACCCACCGTGCCCACCCTCTTCTCAGGGCATCACCCTAAAAAGACGGGGCCACAACCGCAGGGCCGACTGTCCCCTCCAACCCGTGCGTTCCCAGTCCCGAGAGGGACCCCGCTGTGCAGGGGTCCTCACGCAGCCACAGACCCTGGGCCGACCCGGCGCCGGCCCTACCTTATTGAGCTCCCTCAGTTTGCTCTTGGCGGCGGCCGCGTCCTCCTGCTCTGTGGCCAGCAGCTTCTCCTTCTCTTCCAGCTGGCGTTTCAGAATCGCCACGGGGTCACCCTTCTGCGTGGCCTAGAGATGCCCACAGAGCCGCGTTAATGGGGTGGGCAGACGCCTGGTTTGAGACTCACCCCAACCATCAGACCCCGACCCAAAAGCAGAGCGGCGGCCTCTGATGGCGCACGAGCGGTGCCACCCCGACGGCACACACTTCAGGGGGTGGCCCCCGCCTCTGCCGCCCGGTTGGCCAGGCCTCGGGCCCAAAGCTCTGGACCCCTGGGGTAGTTGTGGGAGCATGGTTCTTCCCTAACCCCGGTCGATGGTGGCCAGGGACTCTTCCCGGCCTGCTGGGGGCCATCGGCCATCGGCCGTGGCTTGGTGCCCATCCCTCAGCTGCTGGGGGCAGCCTGCAGGCTGCCAGCTGAAGCGTGGAGGCCCGGGCGCGGGGTGGGGGTGGGGGGTAGGTACCTGGGGACAGTGGCCTGAGCTGAGTTCAGGCCTCTCTTGTTGGAGGGGAGTGGCCACCTTGACCTCCGGCCACTTCAGGCCCAGAAGACGGCCCAACGCTCACTGAGCGAGGAGCTCCTGTGACCACAGGACCCGTCACCACTCAGCAAGGGCTGGGGTGGGGCGGTGGGGGGGGTGACCCAGTGGCCTCAGGACACTCCCAACATCTCTCACCACTGAGGTGCCACAAAATCCTCCAGCAAAATTACCTACAATTCCAGCTGTTTAAGGAACAAACATGCCCCGCGGCACCTCCTGGGGCAGCTCGTGGCCACAAGCACCAGACAGAAAGAAACCAGACAGACAAACACCCTCTTTCCTGAGCCCGAGCCCCGGCCACAAACCAGCGGGTCCCAGCTCCTGGCCCCCCAGACGCCCCGCCCCAGCCCTTAACAGCTCTCCTGCTGCAGCGGCTGGGCTGCAGCTGAAGCAGAAGCAGAAGCAGAAGCATCTGCGGGTGATTCATGCAGCCCGACCTGGGGAAAGGGACAGAGTTCTGCCAAGAGGCAAGCGGAGGTGTTCCAGGAATACTCCGTGCAGCTTGTCAGGTCGGGTGCGGCCGGCCAGCGGGGCACCATCCAGGTGAGGCCAGGGCCCAAGACCAGGAAACCACTGCCACTCACTGGCCCCTGGGGTGGGGGGAGGGCCCACCTTATGCCACGTGTCCTGGACAACACCTGCTTTCTCAGACAGGATCTCGATGAGCCGCTGGGCCTCGCCCTCGCTGAATACCATGCTTCCGACCGTGGAGACCAGCGTCTTGTAGGGAAGGCAGAGCGGGCTGTCAGTCTCTGGGGGCCCTGCACAGAAGGGAAGAGGCAGGGACTCACACTCGGGCACCAGCCACCAAACCCGTCACACCCCAGAGCAGCAGAGGCCAGTCAGAGCCGAGGCCTCTGTCCGGCTGCCCAAGGTCTGTGGGCCGAGTGCAGCGAGCCCACCCTGGGGTCTCAACTGGACTCAACTCAGGTCCTGCTCAAAAACGGCAGCGGGGAAGGTCCCCAGGAAAGAAAGGCTGAGTATTCCTGGGTTGGAGGGGATGTCCCCCTACTTTTTCATCATCAAAGTGAGCAGACTTGAGCAAGGCATACTTTCCCATAGGTACTTTTTTCCTTCCTTCTTTTCCCAGCAAACTGCCTGGGCCAGCTCTGACCGTGCGCCACCCAGAGAGGCTCACGCCCCTGCCAAGACCGAGCCCCACCGGCGGGGAGGAGGTCGCCTCCCCAACATCCTGGTTCAGACCCTCTATTTCCAGCTCTTCCTGGACGAACCTTAAGGCAGGTTTCAGGACAGGGATGACTGGGTACGTCCAGAACAGGGCTGCCCGCTCGCCGGTCCATTAGCGCGTGACCTTGCTGGAGGACACAGAGCCATGTGCCAACAGCCAGCTGTCACTCCTGGACTCCGACGCCCCCACGAAAGCTTCACTCTCATGCAGCCCCTCACACAGCCCCAAAGACACGAAAGGGCGAACAGAGACACCCCCCGCCCCACCCCGTCTGGCAGCTCCTCGCGCTGAGGCCCCAAACTGCCCACGAGCTGCGGAACGACAGGGCCCCAAACAAGCTGGAACAAAGCCAAGCGGCCGCCTGCAGCGGCACCTGCAGCCAAGCCCACCTCACTGAGGACAGCCAGGGGAAGGTTTCCATGGCAACCTGAAATTCTCTGGCTTGTCACAATATTTTCACTCCCTAGTCACAATATTGTCATTACAAGTCAAAGCACTTAGCAGGATCCCCTAATAAAGGGGACGTGGCACGTGGCAGGCTGGTTGCTACGAGCACCTTCACTTTAGAACTTTTTACCCCGTGAAGCTCAGGAGTAAAAACAACCACGTCGGGCTTCCCTGGTGGCGCAGTGGTTGACAGTCCGCCTGCCGATGCAGGGGACACGGGTTCGTGCCCCGGTCCGGGAAGATCCCACATGCCGTGGAGCGGCTGGGCCCGTGAGCCGTGGCCGCTGAGCCTGCGCGTCCGGAGCCTGTGCTCCGCAACGGGAGAGGCCGCACCAGTGAGAGGCCCGCGTACCGCAAAAATAAATAAATAAATTAATTAATTAAATAACCACGTTGACATTAAAGGTCTAGGAGCTTGAGGGTGTCATGAAAACTGGGAGGTGGGGGGAGGCCCCCTTCAGCCTTCATTCTTTTCACTGAAATATGTACGTAAAATAATTTTAACGGTAAACTTCTGCAGCCTAGAGAAAATTCAAGTGCAGCTACGCCAAAAGAGAAGGAACCACTCGGACGAAAACCTCACTCTCAGCATTTTGGTCTCTGGGCTTCCTGCTCCGCCCCGTCGGCCTGCAGACCGACGTTTCTGCCAGGGCTTTTCAGAAGAGGGAGGTCGGCCGGAGTCAGACTGGGCAGGATGGCCTCTTTGAAGCTGGCCACTCAGATGTTTTCCTCTGCGGACCCAGAGAGGCCTGCTCCTGTGCTGCCCCCAGCCATGCTGGCTGCCGGGCACCTGCCACGTGGCTGCTGGTGGGAACTGGGGTGGCTCCCAGGGGAGCACACACCAGATTCTGAAAACTTGGTATGGATAAACAAAAGAATGTAAAATACCTGCAATAATTTTTTTATATTGACTGCATATTGAAATGATAGCATTTGGGGTAACTGGGTTATATGAAGTATATTAAAATGAATTCCATGTGTCTCTCATTTGCCTTTTTTAGTGTGGCTCACAGTGTATTTCTGTGGGGCAGGCTGGCTACTCCTTTCCAGCCCTGGGGCCCCAAAGCACCGCCTGCTGAAGCCCTGGCAGCCCGGTCCCTGCAGAGGCCCCAGAGTGACCATCCTCCTAGGCCCCAGGGCCCCTGCTGCACTGCCCCCCACCCACCTGGGGGAGGGGACACAGACCTGGATGACACAGCTACGCCTCCCTATGGGACGCCTCATCCTTCACGGCCACTACCCCAGTGGTCTCACAGATGCATTCTCTCCAGGAGGGCCCTGTGCACAGAACGTTCCTGAGAGTATTCTGGGAGTGTCATTCTAACACACGTTTGCTAAAACTTTCTCATGTAATTATACTAAATTGTATTAGATGTTCTAGTGAACAAAGTCACGAAAACCTGTAACAAGTTGAACACCCCAAAGCTATGTAACAGCAGAACTTAACTCTCCTCGCCCACCCCCCACAGAAGCTTCCACGGCCTTCGCCATCCTCATACAAACACTTCAGAATTATTTTTAGAGAGATATGACTTTACTCTTTTTCATTAAGCTAAGAAAAGTACCATCTTTATTCACCCCAAATCGGGGAAAGTAAAACTGAAAGAAAGGAAAGAAAGGAAAGCTCTGGGAACCAGAACTCTGGGCCTCACGTGAGTGGCATTTATTTCTGGGTTTCAAGGCCCACGAGGCGGGCACGCTGACCCACACACAAAGGACTAACGTGTCCTCTGGCAAAGGCTCAAAGGCTAGAAATAATCCTTGGGGTTGTGAAATCTTAAGGCCCTAAGAGAAATTTGTCAGAGACTCAACATCTATTCTGTGAAGCCACAGGCTTCACAAGGACCACGTAGCAGTGAACTCCCATGAGACAGAAGCAGCCAAGGCTTCACCCACGTAGGTGAGTCTGAAATTCCAGATACGGACGGGCCCGGAGGCCTGGGGGAGGAACCAGGCAGCAGAAGGGCACAGTGGCCGGGGAGGGCCAGCGTCTCACTGCTCTGGAGTAACCCAGGCTCCTGCCTGGCCGGGGACACAGTGAGCACCCCAAGCGCTGTGCCCTGCAGGGACGGGGCAGCCTCCCCTGAGCGGGTGGCCTTGGCCATGGTCCTTTCCCTCCAGGCGACAGCTCCCACGGGGTCCAGGCCAGAACCCGCAGAGCTGTGGATGCATTGAGAAGAGCTAGAAACGAGATTGCTGTGTGCCATCTCCTGACCTTCAGTGCTGACAGCTAACTCAGTGAAAAATAAATAAAACCACCACGGAGCTGAATACATCCACGGGCCAATTCCGGTCTGCAGGTCATCCCTGCCCTTGGGCTGTGGGCACCCTGGTCAGAGCAAGGCCACTGGAGCCAGGTGGTCCGGGCTTGAATCTTGGCTCAGCTCCCTCCCACCTGTGTGCATCCTTGGGCAAGCGACTCCACCTCTCTGAGCCTGTTTTCTCATCTGTCAAATGCAGGCAACGGCAATGTGCTGGGCACAGGGTGAGCACGGCAGAACTGATCAACAGGGCCAGGAGCACCCCACACCCTGACCCCTCCTTGGGCGGATAGCGCCCCAGTGAGGAACTTGGGTGGGGAGGCAGGGGGTGAAGCAACTCTGCCTTCCTCTGCCCCCCTCCCCGCCCCCAGCTGGCACCCACGCCCCTGGAGACAGAGCGCTGGGGCCCACAGCCCCTGCTCGCACCACTGTCTTTGCACACGAGGTCAAGCGGGCAGCGCATTTAGGGAAACGAGGGGCCCTCTGCCTCCCTGAGCTCTGAGCTGAGAAGCACTCAGCGCTTGGATAACGTGCCTCAAACTCCAAAACTACGCTCCCTTTCGTGACCATGCCCGGAGGCTTAATCACCTAAAATTAGACCTGTCCTGAAAAAAGGGCTTAGGAGTCTCCCCTCTCACCGTCGACAGTGGGGTCTCAGCCACCAGGGACTTGGCGCTGTTTCAGCAGCAGCCCCTCCAGGTCCGGGCCCTGGAAGCCCCGCCTGCTCGTGCCCGGCTCAGCCAAGCGACAGGGGGCATCAGAACAGCTACAGGAACTGCGCGCACACAGCTGTGATCGAGGGAGTTACTGCCAGGCCCTGGCACGGGCGTCAAGAGCTCCAGCTCCGCTCCAGCTGCTGCTGCAGGTGCCTGGCAGCCCTGTGCAGATGGTCTCCAGACATGAAGTATGCACCTACTGTGTACCCCGCAGTCTGCAAAATCCTGGAAAGGCCTGTGGGACTCCCAGCTAGGAGAGGGGAGGAGACCCCGGACACGGAATCAGGCAGCAGAGCCACAGGGCACCTGGGGAAGCAGCCATGGCAGCAACACCGGCGAGGCTTTTAACGCAGGAGATGCTTGCGCCAAACACTACTGGGCGGAGAGCAGGAAGGGGAGGGAGTGGCCGGGATGACCCGAGGCTGGTGGAGCAGAGGCAGGTGGCACTGGCATGGGTCCCGGGGATCCGGGCTTCACCTCGTGGGCAAAGGGGCTGTGCCTCGGAGTGAGCAACGTTTGCACTTGAGGACACCCGGGGGCCAAGGCTGGAGGCAGGTCAGGGAGGAGCCCAGGGCCGGGGCTGAGAGCACCCAGGAAGCGGGGTGGCGGTGACAACCCAGGGCTCTGACAGTAGACACGGGTGGGGTCCTGGAGGCCGGCGGAGAACTCCAACGGCAAAGACGCTCACGTCCCAGGGAACGTCCAGACCGGTTCTGAAGGCCTCCGCTCACACACACAGGTGCAGGCCGAATGGCAGCTGCTGGCTCGGGACCCTGCAGGGGCGTCATCCCAACAGTGTGGGTGGGGGACCTGCACGCTCCCCCCAACAGGAAGCCAGACCCCAGCCTCGGGAAACCCCCCAGGACATCCCCAATCACCTGAGCCAAACTCAGGTCAAAGGCCAGGCCCCCAGGAAGGGCCCCTGCGCCTCCTGGAAGCCCAACACTGCACAAGCAATCATCAGATTCAGAAACAGAGCCAAGCCCCCGACTCCCGGTGACCCCAAGTCCAGAGGGCGGCCACCGTGTCCAGAAACAAGGAACCTGGGCCACCCCCGCAGCTGCATGTTCACCGACAGTGGCCGTGAAGGGTCCTCCTGAGCCTTCGGGAAAGCTACCCTTCGAGGCCCTCGATGGAAGATCCACCAA